TTTATTAATTTTTTTAGAAAATACTTTTTTAAAGAATATTAATAAAGGATTCTTAGTATACTAGAAGTAAAAACTAATATAACTTACTAAAAGATAAAAATAAAGCTAAAGTTATTTCTATAGTTAATAAATATTATAGTAGATTTTATAGATATATTTAAATTTTATTTAAGTATTTAAATTTAGTTATAAGCTAAGTCTAAATAGGTTTTTTAAATCTTTAAAAATAAGTTATTTAAGTTAATAGATATACTATTAATAAAAAAAGATATAAATACTAAGCTTATAGTAATTATTAAGTAATCTAAAAAAATATATATTTAGTTAATAAAAGTATTTATTTATATACTTTTAAATAATATAAATATATAATTATTAATTAAGCTATTTAATATAAATTTACTAGTAATAGAATTTAATCTAAAGTTAATAGTAATAATAATAATATAAATATATTTATTTATAATCTAATAATAATAAGTATTTTACTTAATTTAGTATAAGTACTAAAACTAATAAAATTTAAAAAAAAGCTTAAACCTTTATTCTATTATCTTTTTTTTATTTACTAAAACTCCTATAAAAACTTAAACTTTTATCTTTTCTTTTTATAATTATTATAAAACATTAAAAAAAGCTTAAACCTTTACTTTATTATCTTTTTTTATTAGCCTAAGTACTATAAAAATAGCTATCCTTGAATAAAAAATAGTTATACTACTATTTATTATACTTTAATATAATTAAAATAAGTATAAAAATTAATAATTTTTATTTTACTTAGCTAACTAAGAATTTAAAATAAAATACTAAGAGGTTCTTATTTAAAGCTATTTAAAGCATAAAGAAATCACTAGGAATTTACTAAGGATTTCCTAGTAGATTCCCTGTAGTTATAAAAGTAGGTCCTACTAGGAATTCATAGTAAATTCCTAGCAAATACACCGCCACTACGTAGGTAAACCCGCTGCCACAGCGTAGTAGATCCACCGTGATTTCCCAGGGATTTCCTAAGGCCATCTCTACCTGTACAAGGAAACCTTTCTCCGTGGATTCACCGCCTCCGCTCACAACTATTACGTAACACTTTTAATAGTTATTAAGCTATATAAACTTAAGTCTTTATAAAATATACTTTTTACTAGTATTAAGTTTAACGTAGCTAATCTAGCTAGGTTATCCTTTTTGCTTAAGGCGTTATTTATATAGTTAGTTATTAATCTTAATAGCTTTTTTAACGTATTTGTAAAATTTATTAAGTTTATTATCTCTAAATAGCTTATCTTTTACTTTATCCTTAAGTCCTTAGTAGAATTTATCTATAAGGGCTTTTTTGTTCTACTTTAGTTTAAACGTAATTTATTAGAATTTAGTTATATACTTATTAATAAACCTCTTTTAAGTTAAGGCTACAAGTTTTGTTTAGCTACTTATTCTTTATTTAGGTTTTTAAAAGTTTCCTTAAAACGTTTCTTAAAGTAATTAAAGTTTTTAAAGATTTTTTTAGTTTTATTATCTTAGCTATTCTTACTATTTTCTAAGTAATCTTATATAACAGGTTTAAACTATACTAAGGCATCTTTCTTTAAGAATAAGGCTATATAATAAACTTTATTAGCTTTTACAATAAAAAAGTTACTATAAAACCTAAAGTATACTTAGGTCTTAATAAAATATTCTTAAAAAGTTCTTAGTGTTCTATTAAATAGGTCTAGGTTAAAGTACTTAGCTTATTAGACCTAAACTAGTTATAAAGCTAAGAGTTAAGCGAAAAGCTGACCGTTCTTAGCCCTTAACTAAGCTAATATCTTAAATAACTGGTAGTTAGTTAGTAGTAATACCGTTATAGCGGCCCTAGGTATTAGAGTAGTAGGTATAGCTAAGGGTCACAGAGTTATAGTAGTGTTGTTAGTTAATATGTTGCTAGTGTTATACTATTAAGTAAGTATTAAGGTTAACTTACTAAACAAAAGTAATTAAAGTGTTATAGTTAAATATCTAATAATAGTATTATCTACTAATAGATAGCTAAGGTTAATACTTAATAACAGTAAGTAAAGTCTTGTTAGTAGTTTGTGGTTCTATAGTGAATAGTGATTAGTTATGTATATTAAGGTATAAGTAGCTTATATAGCTTTATAATAGAAGGATAATCTAAGAGTTACTTTGTAACAGCACAACTCCCTTAGCCAGATGGTTGTACGTCACAAGGGCATATAAGCAGTGTTAATAGCAGGCCTTGCACGCGTGCAAGCACTAACGGATCTTTTAGATCAGTTAGCCCAATTGGTCCTTGTCCAGAGCGTCACTGTCAGCGCTCTATTACATACTTATAGTAAAATAAATTACAAAGTTAATTACTAAAGAGCTATGGAAGTCTGTCTTGGAGCTAGTCTAAGCTATTCTATATATAAGTCAGTCTTATCCTTCTAATACGCCTATAATTAGTCTCTGTTAGTAGTGAGCGCTTATCATTGATCATAAGCGCTCATTACCAAGGATAAGCGCTTGCTACTAAGCAGTAGCGCTTATTACCTTATCTTATCTACACGTGACTTATCCTATAGTTCTTCCGTTCCGGGTAATCTGACGTGTTCCCCACGTGTTCTGCATATATCCTGTCTTGTAACCGCCGGGCGCTCAGTAGGTCAGCCCTGGTTATGTTATGCTTCTTGTTGGGTCGTAACACGAGGTAGGCTTATTCCGTATTATACGCCACAGTAAGCAAAGCCTGTTAAGCAGCGGCCGCGTCGTTAGCACTAGGTGTACTTGTCTTACAAGGCAGCAGCGACCCTGGCGTGGTAGACCAGACTACCCAGTAGTCCTGTGCACTATTCTATGACTAGCTCCTGAGTAAAACACTACTATAGATCTAGTCCTGTTACTAGCCGTCTACCTTCCGCAAGTCCTTAATGCTATATACCTTAAAGAAGTAGCAGTAAACTAGGTTATTACTTACTATCTAATAGCTACAAGCATAGTAAGCATAGCTACAAGTAACCGTTAATGCTTTATACAACAGGAGGCTATCAAGACAAAAAGCAATATCGTTTAGGTCCTTAAGCCGCAAAGACTTTACTAATACACTTAGCTTATAGTATTATAGCTTAAGCATATCATATTGCTTAGCTAAATAGCAGCTTATATACTCCCTAAATAGCTTTAATATATAACTATAAGGCTAGTAAATAAGAACTAGTTTAGGCTTATTTAAGTAAAGTTATAAGGCTTTAAGGCGTTAACGTTACTTATCTATTAAGCTATATAATATTATAGGCTAAAATAAAGAAAGAGATAAGAGAGCTATATAGTTATATAAAAGTAATATATAATTAATTTTTTTAGTTAAAAACATTAGACTAAAAACAGCTTGCTATAGCAAAAGTCACTAACCTACTTTCCTTTATAAGGTAATATATAGTTAAAAAAAGAAGGTTTTAGAACGCGTCAAGATTTCATTTAAAGATAAATAGAAACACTAAAGCAGTAAGTAGGGTATATCTAATATGATTGGCTAATTAAAGGCCTAAAGAGCACATCAAGATTTCCTAGTCAAGCAAAAGGGTATGAAGTAGGACAACGAATAGATTCGGCCAATAGTTGTACACGGACAGCCGTATCTTAACGTGTTCCCACGGAGAATGCTTGAGTAGTAGGGGGGAGAGGGGGGTTAGGCTTTCACGGCCGTGAAAGGCGGGTAGTAAGGCATCGTCGTGGGTCGTGGGCGTGGGCGCCTTTCATGGCCGTGAAAGGTGGGCCGGCCCTGCCCGCGTATGCGTCTGTGCGTGGGAGAGGGAAAAGTGGGCCTGGTCCGCGGGGTGGGCCCCAGTTGCGCGCGCGACTGTCCCTTCTAGCCTTTGAAGCTTTTAAGCTCAGGTTAACAGCAATGGCTTTAATTGCCTGTTAGATACGTAATTCTCTTTCCTTATCAAATTTAACCGTGGCTGTAGCCAAAGGTTATATGGAAGAAAATGGTGATGATTAGATTTACGTATAGGTGGCCAGTACCTGCTGGCGCAGGTAGAGGTATCCGAAACCCAAGTCAGGGGGTGTGGGGCACGGGTATCGATTTGTCGACCATCCATAAATTGGCAGAGCAGTTGCTAGCGGCAAAGAGCCTCGGCTCGCTTCGATTCATTAGGCATAAGAGACTTGAGTTCTCAAACCTTAACCCAGGTCCCATTTCTATTCCAGGCTTGAATCCCTGCCTCCTGTGACATATATCTTGCGGCCGCTTGCGCACACCCAGCGGGCCGTCGGCCCATCAGTGATCGGTACGGACGGACTTTTGAAACTCGGCCATGTGATCCCCCTCCAACTGATCATAAACTGACATGCATGGAGAACTAGTATATGAGGTAGTACGTTAGAGTCGCAAGGTCTAAAAACTACGATGCCGTGTTACAGATGGAGTCCGCGGGTTTTTGCATCGAACTTTGAGAATCGGCAATCCTGTTACACCGCATCCCCGTAGACAAGGACACCGGTCACGACAATGAGTTAGGCTTGGCTCACGAAAGAAAAAATCCGAGTGCGTTACGATGGAATAGGTCTGACCTGGAATGTGCGATGAAACGTGATTCTACTACCAAACCTACATGTCAGTGATCACGGTCATAACAGGGGAATCAGCTGACATCAATGACGACAACAAGACCTGTGCCAGACGGGATCGGTAGCATACACAGGGATTGTAATAGACGCGCCATTAGGTCCATTGGAGTCAGACAACGTTGGCTGGGGCGGTCGGCTTGCAACTTCTCACCGCACTAGACTGAATAGTAATCAACCGAGGCGTGCCGATACACAATAAAAGTTGCGTTACTGGGTTTCTAGAGAACATATAAGCCGTCTGATCTTGAGCCTCTGTAAGCCATTCAGACTCATCTCTACTTTCACTTTGATAAGAGGAATCCCGTCTTTCGATAGACAACTTTTGAAACAAAGATCTCAGAGCATACGCCAGAAACCCTCGCATTTTCCAAGGCAAAACCAAGAAGATGGAAGCTAAATCGGACCAATCTACATTCAAGGTCATCATAGCCGGCGGCAGCATAGCTGGTCTTACTCTGGCCCTTATGCTGGAGCGTATTGGCGTCGACTTTGTCGTTCTGGAGGCTTACAAGGAAATTGCCCCACAAGCTGGTGCCAGCATCGCCTTGCTTCCCAACGGCATTCGTGTTCTCGATCAGCTCGGATGTTGGGATGATATTTACGCAATCTCGGAAAAGGGAGTGAACAAACTCGCTGTCCGCCACAGCGATATGTCACCAATCCTAACCGTTGACCATCTGGAGCATAGATTAACCCAAAGGTTACCGCTGCAAGCTTTTGATTCCGAAATCTCTGCTGACATGTTTTGTTTTTGTTAGATACGGATATCCTTCAGTGTTTCTCGACAGGAAAATGGTCATTGAAGTGCTGTACAACCATATCGCAGACAAATCAAAGATTATGATCAGTCAAAAAGTGAACAGTATCGAGTCATCCTCGGAGGGCGTAAAAGTCATCACAAAACACGGCGACGAGTTCAACGGAGACATTGTTGTTGGCTGCGATGGTGTGCACAGTACTGTGAGAAAGGAAATCGCCCGGCTGGAGGGATCTTCTCAAGAGGACCGTAAGTCAAGCAGCCCAGCCTGGGTTGCAGTATTGCTCACGTAATAGCAGAGCTGGAAGCAACTTACTGCTGTGTCTGGGGCATCGCCACAGATGTCCCGCATGTTCCAAAGGGTCTTTTGGCCAATACATATGGTGATAACTATTCGTACCTCTGCGCCGATGGTCCTGCAAACCGCTTCTACTGTGCCCTCATCATGCGCATGAAGGAAAAGTGTATCGGCGATGCCATCCCCAATTTCACACCGGACGATTGTGCAACGATGGTCAAGCTGCACGAAAATGACACCGTTATCCCCGGAGTCAAGTTTGGTGACGTTTATAGCCGGATGGTTGCGACCATCTGTACGCCACTGGCTGAGACGGTCTTTAAGCGGTGGTATAGTGGAAGATTGATGCTAGTGGGGGATGCAGCACATAAGGTACGGCATAAAAAAACAGAATGCACTTCTCGATTGGTCTAACGAATGCTAGTTTGAACCTCTATCGGGTCAGGGCGGCAACAATGCCATAGAGACGGCGGCCGCCTTGACCAACGCGCTAAATAGAGCGCTTGGGAAAAGTCCCAACAGAAAGCTCAGCATTGAGCAGATCAGAGAGGTTTTCGAATCGACTCAACAAGTGAGAAAGCCACGAACCTCCCGTCTGATCAAGGCGTCCCACGACCAGCAAAACATCGAAGCAAATCAAGCGTCAATTAAGACAGCGATTACCGCCCAAGTCATGAAGTTGCTCGATATAGATGCAGTACTAGCACAAATCGACGGCGTGACCTTAGATGCTGTATCATTGAACATGCTGCCGATGCCTTGCCGGCCCCGACTAGTCCCTTTTCATGACGAGCGTCATCGCCAGCCAGTCAACCGTGGATGGCTGACGGTTGCCTTGGTGGCAATTTTCATCGGGATCGCATATGTCGGGGAAAGCTTGCTTTGGAGAGCAGGGATTGAGAACGGAACCTTCGCCCTGATGGAGAAGGCTTACCGTGACGGCCGTCATTACAACTGCGACCCAGCCTTACAGACCTTCACCGGCCTCAGAGCTTTTGACGAGTTCTTCGGACCGATCGTGGCCTTCTTCTACCCGGCAACGACTTCGCCTTCGACATCACCCGCATCTCTGACCATGTACTACCTCCTCATGATGCTCTTCGCATTGGAGCCACTGGTTCTCGTGGAGGGGTATCGCAGGCGCAACAGGCTGAGCTTGGTCGCCGGCGCTAGCTGTTTCATCTTGGCAGCCGTCATTTTGGGCGCCGGTATGGTCTTTCCTATATTCTTCGCGGTTCAGTGCCTATCAAGCCACTCCTGGTCGCATTTCATCCCGACGACGAGGGAAATCCCGAAGCATGTCGCGGATCACCTCTTTCTCGGTGTCTTATTAGGTTTCGCTGTCCAGCACTGGCAATATTTCTGGTTGATGACATAGAAGTGAAGCAAAAAGCTATCCTTGTTTTTCAATTCACGCCGTTGTGTATCATCGGAACCGTAAGACTGCGTGCCCAACTTGGCGGAACAGGAATTCGGAAGTCAGGTGGTGGCGAAGACGAATTGACGCCGAAGAACGAGGACAACGGCGATCTACCAGGCCTCAGGAGGCTATACACGCGAATGTTCGGCATATGTGCATCTCTTCACTTTGTGATAGTTGGGGCCATGCTAATGAGCGGCGACTCGCTCTCTTCATTCTTCTTTTTTAGGAATATCTACTACCCTGTCGAGGGCCTCACCAGAGGTGTCGAGCTCTTTATTCGGGCCGACATCGCCGTTCTCAGTCTTTCCATGGTCATCTGGGGCGCTGTATCAATTTTCGACCTCTACCGAACGGGTCTCAGCAATTTTGAGCCTGTCCAAGGAGTTGCATGGTTTTTGGTCGGCAGCGTTGTCGTTGGTCCTGGGGCTGCGTTGCATGGCTTGTGGACATGGCGGGAGCACCTGATGGCAAAGAAGACGTTCGGCCACGTCAGTAAGGCCTAAATACCGCCGGATTAATACGTTTGTTTAAGCTGTCATTTTAACGTATCCTTAGTCAGTAAAGTTCAACACTCTTTAACCTGTTTAAGTAACTAGTTATTTTGCTTAACTATTATGTCTAATAAGCAGCATTAGTGTTGTAACATCCCAGCGGCTGTTACTTCTACAACTCTTTGATAGTAAATAGAACTAACACTAGGCTATTTAACTTTTGTTTCCTATTCTATCTTAATAAGTATAAAAGAAATAACTACAGCAGGCATGTTTTATTTATCCATGGTCTCTCGTCTTTCCTATGTATTTTTCTGTTGTGCTTTCGTTACATTACTACGCTGCTATAAGACAAAATTATCGTATTTTTACTGTTAATAAGCAACCTTGTGTTAAGTTAAACGAATCGTATAACGTATATGCATAGTGTCACAGGGACAATTCTGCCGGGTCAGATGTGCCTAGGAAGGCGTAGACCTCCTGCCCATATAAGCAATGTTGACAGCAGCGCTTGCAAGCGTGCAAGCACTAGCAGACCTTTTGGGCATGTGGCTCAACGGGTTATTGTCAGGCGTAGTCACTGTAAGCCCGTCTGTTACACATAGCAAGCCGATCAACATAGCGAGCAGATCACTTTTCACTACCCTCCTTCTATTTTTATAAGTTAATTAAGCCATATCGTACAAAATCAAATAGTTAGTAATCTATAAGTAAATATAACTTATAAGATAAAGCTAATAATAAGCTAAGTTATATTTACCTAGGTCTAAGCTACCTTTACTTTAATATAACTAGTAAAGCTAGATTAGCTATAAAAAAAACCAGTAAGTATCTATATATCTACTAAACACCTAATCTTAACCTTAAAATCCTTTAATCTATATATAACCTTAAGTAACCTTATATAACTAATAATAAAGCTAAATAAGCTATAAAAAAGCCGCTGAGAACCTATATATTAGCTAGATAGCTAGTCCTAATCTTAAAGTCTATTTAATTAATAGATAATACTAGTAGTTAACTAAATAAGTATAGTAAAATAAAGAAATAACTAACTAGTAGTAATATATATATAAACAAAAAAACCTTTAACCTAGCTTCTGTTTATATAAAAACAGAAATTTAGTAATAAATACTTAGCCTAAATACTATAATAGTCTAAGCTTATAGGTTTACATATAAATAAAAGAAAAAAGGAAAAAGAAACGTCTAGATTAGATTAGACATATACAAAAGTAATCTAAGCTTACACGTTTACAAATAAACAGAAAAAAAAAAGAGGAAGAGGAACGCTAACTAAAAAAAACCTAAATACTTAACCTAACATAACCTATATAATAAGTAAGAGGTCTACGCTTTCCTAGGCACATTTAACCTAGTAGAATTATCCTTATAACATTTTACTTATAAAAATATCAACTAATTATACTCGAGCTAAAAAACAATTAGCTATACCTTTATCTTTAGCGTCTCTACTTCTTTTTCGCAGGCTCTTTTAACTAGCTATACTATAGCTTGTCGTGTTTATAAAGATAAGAAAAGAGAGAGAAGCAGGTATTCTAATAGACTATAGTAGTAAGCTATACATACTAAATTTGAGTCTATTCTCTTGCCTAGCTATCTAAATAAAGGCTTCCCTTTCCAGTACACTACATGTTATAAACCAGTACTTACGAATGTTAATTTACATAGAAGAGGTCTTTTTTGCCACAGCGTATAGACCTTCATCTCGTTCCAGTTCAAAGACTCGTCGCTTAGTTTGATATCGAAATGTAATAAGACAGTTGATAGTAGCTGTATAAAGTCAGTGTTTTTCGTTAAATGATATTACTTGACGCTTTTCAGAACAAAGCTAGCAAAATACTACAGTCTGGATGTCACTTACTAGCCGTATTTCATGCATCGCAAGATCCTGAAACATATGGAATTAGTAGTAGCGCTTATGTCAGGCATTTCGAGTACATACCTTGCCAATACAGTTCATTGGTCCCATGAGGAACGGCTTAGACATTTCCAAACGATCATTCTTGAATTCTTTGTCTCTTAGCCATCGTTCCGGATGAAACTCAAGAGCTTGCTTGAAGTACTGCTCTTGGGTGTGGAGAGATAGATAGTGAATCCCAACCGTTGTGCCTTCTGGAATCCACTGTCCGCAGATTTGTGCACCTCCTTTTGGTATTGTTCGAGGTAATGCAATTGGCAGCGGTGGGTGCAGGCGCAGCTTTCAAAGGGTCAATAACGTTATTGTCCAAATCAATGAGTAGCATGGTAAGAGATAGACTTACTCCTTCTTGGATCACAGCTTGCAAATACTTTAGGCTTGCCAAAGCCTCCAGTGACATAGCGTCAGATGTCGTAAATGTCGAACGGATCTCTTTCGTCAATTCTTTCAAGCATTGTGGGTTCCGTAGAAGGTAAAATGTGATTGCAGACAGTGCTGACGCGATAGTTTCTGTCCCTGCCGTCATGAACAGGAAAGCATTGGCGTATTGCTCTTCCATTGTCAAACTCTCAGGGTCCTCGTTCTTTTCGAGAATTCTAGACCACAAGTCGGGATGCTTAGGCGTGCGCTGGAGTCGTCGGTCGACACGCTCAGCGCAGTATGCCCAGTTCTCAAGCTGCTTTTTCTGTACCGTTGGGTTGTATCTGAGAAAAGTGTCGGCTAGCAGTCTTGTAACTCGGCTGTGAGTTTTGACCCCCAGCAAGAATGTGGAAGCTTTCACCGAGCCGAAGATCGACTCGACCCATGGAGAACATTCACCCTCTTCAAGCATCTTCAGATCTTCGTTGAAGGTCAAGTCACCCATAATATCGAAGGTTGTGCAGTTGTAAAACTTTGAAATATCGATCTGATCGACCACACTTGCCTTGTTGGCCAACTTGACTTTGAATTTCTTAGCCCATCCCAGAAAAATGGGTTGTTGATCCATGAGCGCCGTGTTGCTGAAAGAACGTGCAAGTACTTTCCGCTGCCGGGTATGATTCGCATGATCACGAGTTATTATGAGATTTCTTGCCTCAGCGAATCCGAATATCTTTGAATAGAATAGTGACTCTTTAACGATTCCACCTTCTTTTGTAGCGTTAAAGCCATGAATATCTTTCCAGACCCCGTCTCCTCCAGCAAATGAAAGTAAGTTTGGTCCAACTCTCACAATTGAACCATACTTTCTATGAAGGGCTGGACGATCAATGTTGTCGTTTCCGCTAATTATGGTATGGATTTCGAATATGTTGGAGAACGCGCGAAGCTTCGGTCCGGGAAACTTGCTCAATGGACCGAAATAGACGCTGTGGATTGTGGCAACAGCTTTGTATACAACATATAGAAACAAAAATACAAGTGCAGTGTCGGAAAGATGGCGACTGACAAGAATTTGTGCCAAGAAAGAGTCAGACATATTACCGTAACGAATAGTCGATGCAAAGATTGATCTTCTCTTTGTGATGTTGATATCTGTTTGTTTTGAGGTTATGTCATTTTAGTTGACCCCCAGGCAGTTCAAATAAATTCTTACTCTGAGGGCTAAAACATTTACAGACAGTTGTGCTGTTAAAACCTTTTCTAGAAAACTCCCGATAACCTTTCACATGTAGGAATGAATTACAAATCCATCTCAGGATAGCATTGAGCAAGGTTAGTTTGAGTAGAACCTTTGCCAGTTAGCATTTATCAGCTATCCAGCAACCGGGCCGCTCTTAAAGTTTTAGCCAGAAGATTTAGGTTGTAACTCTTCAACTCTATCACTAGTCTTCGTTCCATGCTGGATTTGCCACAAATTCCCAGTGATAAACTCTAACTTTGCTAAGTACCATTGTAAATAGTCGAGTCATCTTGGGTTCTTTTCCAGGTTTGATGGTCAGGCAGGGGGCCACGTAGGCGAAGTAGAGTTTAAACCAGCATCAACCCCAAGTCCTCGAAGAAGCAGTTCAGTTCCATGCAGCACTCTAGAGAGCCTCCTTGGAAACTCGAATCAAGATATCCATTCTACTCTTGGTTGATACATGTAAATAAAGAGTTTTTCGATTTTCCCGTTGTCTTCAGCTTGAGCTTGGTTTTAGTCGGACTGTCGTCATCTCAGTCGCCTACGTGAGTTTCAGCCAAATACCTGTGTACATAAGCTTCCGCATTCAAGCAGGTATACGTCAGCCGTTAAAAGGCTCGTGCTATAGAGATGTCTCAACAGAAAGGGTTAGGCCAAGTGTCATGGATTAAAAACGTGTTGGAACTTGTTGTAAAGGAAAAAGGCTTAGCATGACATGTAGTGCGATACTAGAGGGCTTCAAAGTCCTAAATACACATCAAGCCTCCTTCAAATATTGTGTAATTCAATGCTCTCTGATCGCCACAAAGCAATGAATACGCAAGTTTGCTTAGTTTTTCAACTACAATGAAGAAATGGATGCCGTCCGCATTATTCTTACAGCGGCAAAAGCTAGCTAAACGAAACTTGTGTGATCCTCAGCTTGAAGTCCAATGTACCTAGCTGCTACTACAGAATCATAAATAATGAAATATAGCAATCTCCAAAACTGAATCATTACATTTTTCACGAGCAATGTAAGATTCGTAACTTACAGCGTCGGTTTATTGGTGTCCTAAGTCAAGGGAGTCTTGCACTTGACCTATAGGTTAATATTTGATATAGAGTAATCGAAAGAGAATGAGATATAGTTAGTAAGTTAAGTCACCTCCTTCTAGGCACCCTACTCTTGTAGGCACCTGATTAACACTAAAACTGCTCTTTTTCACTATAGCTTTATCTTATTCAGCCTACTTATTAAAAATCTAAGAAAATCATAGCTTATGAAAAATAACTTATATTTATAACTATAGATAGTTACTGTACTTATTTCTTATATTATCTTAATCTAAAACCAAAGCTTAAACCTAAAAGCTTAGAACTGTTAATCTTTATATATATTTTACTAGTATTCACTAATAATTAAAAGCTTTAAATAAAACAATACTATAAGTATATATTTATTATAATAATAAACTTGTATAGCGA